CACACACACATATTTAATTTTATGGACTCTCATTGGTAGGAAGAAAAAAAATAGTTTCTCTTTCATAAGTAATCATTTTTAGAGAGTTCTTTAAATTTGTAGAATTTCACCTCTGTCTCCTACTTTCTCCATTTTGAAGAAAGTTTTGAGGAATTTGTTAGACCAAAAATCCGCACAATCTTCATTTTAAAGAATCTGGTAGAGACATTGTAACAATGCATTTAACAATATATTAGTGCATTGGGGATTTAAGCCAAACCTCTAAAGAAAAGGCCCATAGACTACATAATCATAAAGAAAAGAGCTAAAAGACCTATGATGGTCGGAAGCTATATAAGCTCGAAGCAGATGACTTTTGCAGCAAGGGGGAAACTTCTCTTCTGAGTAGAACACCATGCTGTCCCTATGAGCGTGAGCAAAGGATGCCAGCGAATCTGCTACTTTGTTTCCTTCTCACGAGATGCGGGAAGGATTGCATGAAGGAGATAAGAGAGACTTGCATGATCTCGTCAAATATACCAAGTTCCAAGGGAGCTCCCTGTATGAATGAAATGCAGCAAGACTTGAGCGTCAAGTTTCATACATGAGAAGGGTATGCCTAATTGGGAGGCAAGATCCAAGCCAATGATTAATGCCCGAGCTTCTACTTGTATGTTCTTACCCGAAGAAAGAAATCTCAACACAAACAAATTTAAAATAAAAACATTTTAAATGTTTGAAATATAATTTAAAATTTGGACGCTAAAAGAAATCATATATTGATTATTAGAAGTAGAGTTGCATACTTGCATAAGAACTGAGTCTTCGGGTCTAGGTCCGAGCCTTTCAAGTTTCAAGCCCGTTTTACTAAGCAAAAAAGCCTTCGTTTTTTCAGGCTCATCCAGTCTAGGTTTTGGAGTTGAAAGTGGATTTAATCAGATTTTTTCAGGTTGGGTTTTTTGAGCTTTTTAAGACTTAATTGACAAAAAGTTGATATGATCAGGTTTTAAGAACGGACCTGGTCTGGATTTTTTAAATATATATATTTATATACGAGAAATGCAACAAGTAAAACTTACATTCCCTCCTCACCTTTGATAAAGTTTGAAACTTTGACTCCCTAAGAAACCAAAGGCTCTAATACTGCTAGGACAAAGACCCTTTAATAAAAAACAGATATTTTTTCGACATTGAATTCACAATAATGGAAGATATTAATTTAGGCTATAATATATATATATATATTTACATTGAATAACATTTGATTTTTGCCTTTTTGAGTCAATATATTTCTCGTATCATTTTCAGTAAAATGACAATATACTTTAAGTATAATTAACCAAAATGGATGGGGAAAATATATTGTCTAAGAGAATGGATATAAAATATGTTCTAATAAGATTGAGATCATGTGAGACCAATGGTTTTCGTGAGACCCGTAAGACCAATTCTTAATCCTTGGATTAGATCTATATATATAGGTTAAAGAAAGAAAAAATATATAGGTCAAAAATACCCCTACAAGTTTAAAGTTTAATGTTAAATTTTAACCATTGGATCATTAGATTATAAAATTGATCAATGAACATAAATTGGTCTTACGGGTCTCACAAAAAACCATTGGTCTTACGTGAACCCAACCATATATATATATATATATAGAGGAGTGATCATATGAAAACCGCCCTCATTTGTGTAAACCGTGCAAGCCACCTTCATCTGTCGATTTCATTGTTCAATCTTAT